GAGGGGGCGAAACTCTGCTGCAGGCAGGGGAAGCCCAGGAGGTGGGTGCTCACCGCCAGGCTCTGCTGGAGGGTGTCGTGCCCTGGGAGACTTGGGTGGGGTGGTTTGGCGAGAGGTCCCTTGGGCAGTGCCCCGTGGCCTGCTGGGCGGCAGCTCTGCTCCCCGCAGAACAGCGGGCGAGCGCGGTGAGTTGCTGAAATGCCAAGGCTGCTATATGTTTAATTGGCTAAACCAGGGCGGGAGCACTCTAATCTTGCAGGGAAACAGATTAGCTGCACAGGACGGGCTTGTTTCACCTTCTTCCAACCTCCAGGGAGAGAACTTTATCTGGACAATTCTACCTGCTCTGCCGCAGCTCGAGCGCGCTGTCGCTACCGAACTGTGATCGTTAGCACCGTATGGGGATGGTTTTACTTGCAAGCACACAACGTGTGCAGGCTGGAGGGAAAACTTGTACTGCTGAGTATGTCCTGTGGGAGCTTCCTTGACTCCCAGTTGTCTGAGGACAGCTTATTTTTAAAGTGTGTGAAATGTTTGACTCTTGCCACTGAGTCCAGCTTGGGGGGCCTTATCAAGAGGAACACCTGTGCTGAGGGCGGGCTGTGCAGACTGAACGCGGGATCCTAGTCAAACGGAGGCTGGGTTGCATACGGGAGCTTCTTCTCTCGTCCCTCTGGCTCACGCTGACGGACCCTGCCGGGGACCCCTTTGTGTGGCAGAGGGTGCGAGGGGGAGACCTGCCATGCAGCTGTGGGGTGTCCCTCCTTGGCTAGCAAAGGGCAGGGAAGTGGAGTGATATGAGCACCTGTGAGTGAGACCTGCAATGCTTCCCTCCCTGTGGAGAGGTGGGATTTTCCTTCTTGGCTAAAACTGGGAGGCTCTTTGCTCCAAAAGTGAGCAGTCTGTTGGAAGAGCAGTGTCTGTAAAGGAAGGGGAGACAGGATGTCCTTGTGAAAAGGTCTATGCTTGGTTCATGCGCGTGTGGAGCTTCCAAGCTCGTCCTTGCTGCAGCAGCAGGAGGTAAGGAAGTGGTGGGTGGCAGTACTCGGTTCTCTGCTTGGTACCTGCAGGTCATGCCCTGTTTCTGTTTTGGATTTCCTTAGCCCGAATCTTACTGCTGTAGCTCTGGGGCTGAGTACCGGTACCAGGGCTAGGAGCGGTGCGAGCTCAGCTCTGCTTGGGTTGAGGCCAGCAGACTTCAGGCTCTTAGAAACAGCCTTAGCTTTGTGGTTTGGCCCTTCTGGGAGGGAAA